TGACGATTCAAAATTTCCTGACGAGGCCCAAGCTATAGAAGAATTTAATTCGAAAGCTGTAAAATTATTTTATCCATTACTAATGGCATCAAATTATTCGTAATTATTTTTAAAAAATATTTTTAAATATTTTTTCTATCTAAAGTTCAATTTGGCTTTTAGTATTAATTTGTGCACACCGTTTCCATTCTATATGCCATCCAAATAATAAATGGAAACGGAAATTAAAATTTATTGGCTGTCAAAGCAAATTATGTATTTGTTTATGCATATTTTTTGCAATTGGTATGTTTGGAAATTTTAAAAATTCATTTAAAAAAAGTTGGGAAATTAGGGAATAATTTCTATTAACTAAATATTACATGTTCTTTATTCCTTTAAAAATTTTCATATATACGAAAAGATTAAAAATTTCCACAATCCTTCCAAAATTTTACTTCTAATGTAGGGTTGTCGGTCTGGACCAAAACAAAGAAACGAAGATTTTTCGGTTCGGTTCTTCGGTTCAGTTACGGATATCCGAATTTTTCCAGGAACCGACAACCCTATTCTAATGTATTAAGTACTTGTCGACCAGGTTTAAAACCAAAAATTTCCATATTTATTGCCAAAAATTAACCGTTTTATGAAAATTTATAACTCAAAAATTTTTACAAATGAGTGACATTTTTTTAAAATTCCCCTTAACCAAACAAGTATTTGAAAACTCAAAATCGGAAATTGGGTTTTTAAAATTCGAATTAAGCGAAAACTGACAAAAAAGTGTACCGGTTAATAACCGGTCACTAACAACCTAGTTATGATTGAAAATCATAATGAGATGAAGATCTTCTTTAAGAATAGGGTATCGAAATGGAAAGTTTGGAGATTTTTTCCTTTATTTTAATATCTCCTCTTTAAAAATACCTATATAAATTTATTTTAAAGTAACAAATTCAATTCGTTGGTGGGAACTTGAAAATATTAAAAATAATGAAAATTTAACAAATGAATTAAACGAAAATGAAATAAAAATTAAAGAAAGTTTTCTTAAATTCTCAAATGTTTATTTAATTTTACAGGAAGGTTAATTTTAAATATTAATTTGAATATAAAAAAATTAAATTTTAAAGGGTTTTTTTATGGATTTTGTGTTTATATTTTACCTTTTTTTATACTTTTTTGGCTTAATTTAAATACAATAAAAATAATCTCAGATTCTACAAAAAATGTTTTTTTAATTATTTAAATAATTTAAAATTAAAAATATTTTTTCCTTAGAAACAAAAATTTATTAGTAGACAACCAACAGAATATAGAACTGCAAAAATGACTTTTGTTGTTTTTGGCGCTTTTTTTGTTTGTACAACGATGGCTGTATTGCTACGTTTTGTAATGTTAGAAAATTAAAAATAATTTTTTAAAGAAAAGTTTAGATGTTTATTGTGGACTAGGGATCGGATTTAATTGAGTCGTTTAATTATGAAAGTTTTTTCTAAGAACCAAATACCGTATTTTCTCGATTAATTCCCCTGGGGAATTATTTTTTCTTTGCATGGGGAATTAATCTGGTTTGGCATTTGAACGTGCAGCAAAGTATTTGGGGGTAGGGTATTTGGGGGTAGGGAATTATTGTTTCAATCCAACTCTAGCATGGGGAATTAATCGAGAAAATAATGTATTCTCGAAAAGGAGAAATACCTTATTTTCTTGATTAATTCCCCACTCTCGAATTAATTCCTCATGCCAGGGATGGGTTGCAACACTAATTCCCCTCCTCCAAGTCACCCCACGGATGAGTTTAAATATTAATTCCCCGGGAAAATAAAACGAAACTAGTGTTCGGCACGGTTTGGTACTCCCGCGGTGCCCCGAAAATAACAAGTTGGTATTTTCCGGTACTCCCGGAACCAGAACCATACCGATGGGATTTTGGAAAATTTAGGTACCACTCGGTATCGGGACTTTTCGGTACTCCCGGTACCGGTACCGAAAATTTCCAGTTGCTGAACACATAATCGAAACAGTTTAACTGTGTGGGGGTTGGAGAGGAGTCTTTTAAATCTTCGGATACTCGAAGATTTTAATTAAATGACGATAAAATGATCCAAAATTTATTTTTTTAGAATTATCTTTGGTAATCTTTTTCAATTTGCCGAGTTTGCTTGGTTACCAGATTTATCAAATTTATTAATGAATATAAATTGTTTAATAATGCCTGTTGTTTGTTTCATATTTACGTAAATATTTTTTTCTATTTAAAAAATAATTTTTAAATAAACAGACGTGGATTTCGGGACATATTTTTTGCTATAAGAGATAGAAATCGTCAACATTTTGGGTTAACTAAAACAAATATTTTTTACAAAAAACAACAAAAATGTTTAAACGAATTATTAATAGATAATGAAAAAATATGAAAAGATTTTTTTAAATAATTTTGAAATATTATATGTACATATCAGGGATCGCGCCGACAGAAAATCAAATTCCCAAAAATCGTCGGGAATTCTCAATTTTCAGGAATCGTGCATCGGGTCGGCGCGATCCCTGATACATATATGTAAATAAATATATTTATTAGATTTTATGTATAATTTTTTTGAAATTAACTTTTTATCTGTTAATTCTTATTCCATAAGACATATACGAGTGGAGCAAAATGAATCTTCTTCTGTAAACTTTTACCAATTCTTTTAAAGCATCTCTATACCTAACTTTTTTGCTTTAACTAGGCAAATTTCTTAATAAAAGTGAAGGTATATGAGCGAGTACAACAGACCCATTCAATAAAAAATATTTAAAAATATGTACATAATATGTAGGTCAACTATACATAAACTTACATTCATAGTATATAAATTTATTTTTAATTTATTATTAAATTTGTTTTAGTTTTTTGAATGTGTATCCTAGTTAATTTAATAATATGTAGCAAAAAATTCAAAAATAACAGTGAAGTTCCTTTGTGGGATTTAAAATAAATAGGTACTTATCGGTTATACACCCACCCCGATAAATGAGGAAAACACCAAATAACTGGACTTATTGTGTCATAACTTTTAAATGAGTGATCAGACTTGATCTATCCTATGAAAAAAAGTTACCTCTTATCAAGGGCTTTCGAATGATAAAAGATTTATTTGAATTGTACATATCAAGCTCAAAAAAGTTATAGCCAAGCAATGTTGGATGGAACTCATTTTGTGGGCGTATAACCGATAAGTACCGATAAATAATAGTCATTAAGGGTGTCTGTATTCTCAGTATTTACATTAAAATTATTTTTAATTTAGTACAAAAATTATAAATTAATTTCTATATTTATTTTTTTAAATTCTTTATCGTCTACAACTAAAATGAACGAGGTTGGCAGTTTATATGAGGGATAAAATTATAAATATATCGAGACTAGTTTTAATAATTTTGGATATTCTCGGTATTTCCGATTGAATTTCGTTAATACGGCGGTAATACCGAACCGCGCCGAACACTAGTTAAAACTTTTAATAAATAATATTTTTCATTAAAATTGCCAAATTTTAAGGTGAAACGAAATAATAAGACTTTACCAGAAGACGAGGTATATATAGCAACCTATAGTAGTTTGTTTAAAGCGAATTCTTTAACTGGATCTGGTATGTTAAAAAAATTATTGCTGATACTTTGGCTGATTGACAAAATAAACTGTTTTAAACTGTCAGAATATAAACTGACAGAACAAACAAGATACATATTTAACTTTTTTGTGTCTTTGGTGTAATTCGACACAGCTCGATGTGTTCTACATTTCTTGTTCAGACTGACCATTTTTACATATTTTCCAAAAAAATTGACTGGGGGGGAGGGGAGGGGGACTAAATAAGTACCTAAAAAATGTTTGTTTAAGTCAGATTTCATTAAGTTTAGTTTCATTCGAGCCAGCTCGAAAAGCTCTTTCTAAGTATATATAAATTGTTACAAAAAGGGTTTTGTTAGGCAAAGTATTATACAAATATTTTTTAAATTTATTTTAAATATTTTTTGTCTTTTTAAACAATTTTAAAAAATTATTAACATTTATTTTTAGGAAAACGTAAAATAACAATTGAGGATTATGACAAAGTTCTGACTGATATTGGATTTGTTCCTAGGCTGAAATTTCCACCTGCTTCAGTTAAATTTGTTGAAAAGTGAAAATGCTGTTTGGAAAATTATAAAACGAATTAATCCCTAATTGTATACCAAATATTTTTGAAATTACACAAATAACGAATGTATTTTTATGTAAACATTCCTTTGTTTTGTTTTTTTTTCTCAGCTGATAAATTTTGTAAAGTTCGATGTAATTTTTAAATTTATGTTATTTATATTTTAATTTTAAATTGTAACTATATAAATTGTAAAATTGAAAATTTTGTAAATTTGAATTTAATTAAGACTCAAGTTAAGACTCGGCCCAACATCTCGAAAATAACCCTGCGCCAGTTTATTTATACCTACATATTTGATTTTTTGATTCGTTCGGTTTTTGAAATAAAATGGAATTTTATTTAATTCTGCGTCCAAAATAACCCTGCGCCATAAAGAAAGTTGGGGTAATGGGATGAGATGTTGGTCTATCCATTATTTTAAAGAGAAAAAGACCAATTTATTATTGACTAGGAAAGGTTTGGGAACGGCTGTTGGGGGGGGGGGGGGGGGGGCAAGATGCGTCGTTTTCCGTTACTAGTATATGTTGTGGTCGAGGGTCATTAGGAGAGAAAAGAAAGTCATAAGAGAAAATCTTTATTTATTTTCATCATTATAGTAAAGAGATAAGCAAAAGTTTAGCCAATGTGAATAGATTTTAGATTTAATGACCTCGATGAAATGTTTTCGCACAGCTTTGCTAAATATTATTTAAAAAACATCTCCCATGTTTGTTCTAAATAGTTTATTTAATTTTATTATTTTTATTTTATATTTAATAATTAGGGATATGTATTACAATTAGTGTTGCCGTTTTCGAGTCGGTCCGAAGTCATTTTTTCGGGCCGGTCCGACCGAGTTCATTTTCGGGCCAAAATACGATGCCGACTCTATCTTTCGGAACGGACAGGACCGGCAACCTTAATTACAATAGTGCGTTCAAAACATTCACCTAATACTTCAACAGATAAGACAAGAAATACGGGGAGGGGGTCGAGGGTTTTTTTCGATTTTCGAAATTTTTGATAAATTAGACTATGTGCCATTAAAAAGGAAGAAATCGGCCACGGAACTTCAAAAACTTTTCGATTCCAGACCCAAACTATGTTAAATACCCATCAACATACATACTCTCCAGATACCTGCAAATTCATTTCTTTTTTCGATTTTCAATTTCGATATTCTTAAATTTTTCGACTTTCGAAGATTTTTTTTATTCAAGACAGCTTGTTGGTGGGACAGATTTTATTTTTTAATATTTTCCTAATTTTTTGTGAATTTTAAGTTTTTTTTTCATTTTTATAGTTTAATATTTTAAACAACAATAAATCTTTTATTTTTTTGGTGCTTCATTTTATTTTCCAACGAACAGCTTAAAGTTAAACAATTAAAACATTTTAAAAAGTTTATTGCCTAAATATAAAAATCGTTAAAAGATTTATAAACCCACACAATAAGTTCATTCAAATTGCACTCTATTTTAAAAGTTTTAAAATTTGGTATGTAGACTGCCCCCTTTACGCGGCACCGGCTAATTTGTTAAATTATGCAAGGAAGAAATGACTGACCATTTCGTACATTCAACAAAAACGCGGACTGGGGGGGAGGGAATAAGTACTAATCTTCTATAGTTTAAAAATTTTTAAAAATTACTACAAATCGATTATTTAATAAAATTTAATTTTATAATTATTTATTAAACTTTCCCCATTTTCTTTTAATTATATTTTTCTCAACCAACTTATATTCCAAACCATTTTTTAAACATTGCTTTAATATTTAGTATAATAAATTTTGCTTTACATTCCACCACCACATTTTTCCCCTATTCTTCCCCAGCAATCAATTTATACCATCTGCAACGAAGTTAGGCCATAGGCCAATCTATAATATATTTTTTTTCCTTCTTAAGATGACCAAGTGTCTGTTGTGAGAAAGCGAAGAAAGGATGAATCGTTGTTTCTATCAACGTTAAAAATTCTGCTGCTTTTCTGTCTATATATTTATTTTATAACTGTTCAAACATTGAAAAAATAAATATTTTTTGAACTGAATTTGTTAATAATAGCTCAAAATAGGTAACGAGAATTTTAAAAATAAAAAATAAATTATAGCTACCCATTTTAAATCCGATCTAAACTTTGTAATTTTATAATAATTAAATTTATTTCTTAATTACTACCCAAAATTTAAACATCAATTATTATTTTTTAGTTAACTTCTTTAATTTTTTTTAAATTTTAGAAGTAAATATTTCTAATAATTAAATTATTATTATTAATTATCAAATATTTTTCCGAAAATATGTACTTTATATATTTACTAAATACGCTGGGTAATTATTGTTTTAATCTCTCGCTTGAGGGGTTAATTAATAAATGGGCATAATTATTTGAAATTACTAGTAATTAAGATATTCAAAATAAATGGGTATATTATTCAGTTAAATACTTATTGGATTCGAATTATACGTAATTTAAAATAACAGCCGAATATCCCTGAAAATAACAAAATACCCATTACCCATTACGTACAACTATTTAATTAAATCAATTTTTTCGTCTTTTACAGGCCTTAAAATGAATAAATATTTTTTTGGAATTCTGCCTTATTAAATACAACAGTTATTTTAAAATTTTTCAAAACACCTGCCAATGTTTTAATGCTTTTTCCTTCCTTTTCTTTTTTATATTAAATTACTTTAAAAAACATTTTAGAAATCATAAAAAATTAATTAGAATTAAAAAATATTTTTCTTTTGTAAATAACAATTACAAATTTATTTTTATTTTTTATTAAAATTCTGATTTTATTAATATAAATTCTGATTTTGTTATAATCAGATAACACTTTTTCTGATTTTATATTTATTAATTGTTCCTTTTTTAAGTGTTCTGATTTTATTACAAATAATTTTAATTTCTGATTTTTAATGTTCTAATTCTGTTTTTTTTGTTTAATTAATTACAAATTTATTCTGAATTTTATTAGGTTATTTTTTTAATTATTTTTTTTATTGAAAATCTTGTAATTGAAGCACAGTGCTTCTATTTTTCGATCCCCTCGTAGGGTATGCTTACATTAGAACTGTACTTTTATTTTTCTATCTATTTTTCAAATAAAATTTTTACCCGACATAAAAAAACAAAAATTAAATTTCAATTGAATTCATAAATTTCCATATAATTTCTATCTAACCAGCCAGCTTCATAAATTTTTTCCCTTCGAAAATTTTCATCTTTTGAGCTAAAAAGAACAAGCCCCGATCTTATGGATTTCAAAAAAACTTGTACCCTTGAACTCATAAATTTTTATTCTATTATAAGATTTACGGTAAATTAGTTCTGATTTTACGTATTTTAATTATTTTTAATTAAATTTATTATTTTATTTTTCATCCTTTTAAACTCAATTTTCTCGTATTTTTAAATTAAAACTTATGTTTAATTTTATTTGTTTACATATTTTTTAAAATTTTATCTAGATGAAAATTAATTTATTAAGTTATTTTCTTATTTATTTAATTTCAACTTCATTTCTTCTTAACAACCTATATGGATTTGAAGAAGAAGGTGCTTAAATATTTTTTGCAAAATTTCTTTCTTTCTTTAATTTTTTAGCAGATTTATGTACTGACAGAAGTTGTTTCCCCGCAACAGGGAATTTATTAATAGGTCGAAAACATCAACTTTCTGCCACATCCACTTGTGGTACTTTAATTTTTAATTTTAATTTTTTAAAGAAATAAAATTGGGGTTAAATATAAATTTTGATGTATTTAACAAAAATATTTTTATTTCTACATAAGGATTAAGAAAAAAACTTTTTATAATTCCCCTTCTACATATTCTTGGCTAAATTCGATACCTAGTTTTGTTATATTGAGGGTTGTCGGTTCCTGGAAACTCTTCGGATATCCGAAACCTAACTGAAGAAGCGAACCGAAAGATTCACGGTTCTTCGGTTCGGTTTAGAACCGAAGAGTTATATTTATAATAAATTACTGAAAATACAAAAAATACGAGGCTCGAGAATTGGATTATTTTCAGCAAAAAAGTTCAACTTTTATTAAGTCAGAACGTTTCTATTCATCAAGGGTTATCCTTAAATTGATTAAATATTCGCTGAAATATGACAAAATTAAAATAGTTCTAAAAAATGTTTCTTAAAATAAATTTCCCTAGGTCTTCATAGACCTGGACGTTACTGTATTGTCTCTCATTTGGAAAACCCTGAAAAATGTTTTAAATGTGATTCAAGGCAACCCTGGTCTTATGAACAACCTGGAAATGTAAGCCACCGAATTGAGAATGTAGTTAAAGAAAATTATGGGGACAGAACTCAAAACTGGTGGCAATCAGAGAATGGGGTTCAGGTGTTAATAAAATTATTTTTAAAAATAATTTTAATTAAAAATTTAAAAGAATGTTTCCATTCGTTTGGATTTGGAGGCAGAATTTCACTTTACTCATTTAATTATGGTTTTTCGTTCATTCCGCCCGGCAGCTATGTTTATTGAACGATCCAAAGATTTTGGAAAGACTTGGTAGAAATAAATGATTGAAGAATTATTTTTAATTTAAAGGTCCACTTATCGTTATTTTGCTTATGATTGTGCATCATCTTTTCCTGAGTAAATTCTCAATTTGTTTAAAAAATAAATTGAAATTTTTTAGTGTAAAAGAGGGCCCACCCCGTAATCACAAAGATGTGATTTGCACCAAAAAATACAGCGATGTTGCTCCTTCTACTGGTGGGGAGGTACTGAATACAAATTTGTTTTGTATTAAAATTTCTACTTAAAAATTAAATTTATTTTAATTACGAGTATATACTGTTGAATCTCGTTACATATTATAGCATTACTGGGAATATTCCAAACAAGATTATACACTATCTTTCGAACTGCCACGTTGTAATCCTCATGGTTATAACGAGGGTTGGACACTAACGATTATTAACCGTTACCGCCGGTTTTCGTTTAATTCAAATCTCAAAGACCTGGTTCAGGTGTTGAGTTGTAGTTAAATACTGGTTTTATTTTGGGAGATTTTTTGGCTGTACTTTAGTACGTGGGTGCAGGCTTTAAATTACAAATGTTATATCATTTGAAAGAGCTAGTCGAGCTGAGTCGAATGCCACCAAAATCAACGAAATCCGACTTGATTGGACAAAGTTATGATCTTTTATTTTAGCTCCTTACCTATGGCATCTGTTGAAATTTTTGATGCTACGGAGGCCCCAAATACGTCCAGAGCAAGGGATTTAGGAATAGGTTTATGTTACGAGCCCAGACCCAGAGCCCGTAGACTCCCCGCGAGGCGCGTGCCGCAAAACCCCGCGCGAAGCGCGGGGTTTTGCACAAGCGCCTCGCCGACGCTCCATAGGTTTAGGTTTTTTTTGTTTTTTGTTTCATAACTTTGTCTAATCTTGTTCAATCACGGTGATTTTGGTGTCATTTGACTCAGCTCGTCGAGCTCTTTCGAATGAGGTATTATTTGTATAAAAAAATTTTTATTCTAAAAATCGCCCTTTTGGATCTTCGATTTTTAGGGGTCTATATCTCGGTCCAATCAAGTCGGATTTCGTTGATTTTGGTGTCATTCGACTCAGCTCGACGAGCTCTTTCGAATGAGGTATAATTTGCATTTTCGAATTTTTCACCCCAAAAAAGTGCTTGGTCCCCTCTATGGTTTTTCGATTTTCAATCGCCTGTATCTCGGTTCAAAAATTTTTCCTAGAGCTAATTTTGGTGGCATTCGACTCAGCTCGACTAGCTCTTTGAAATGATATAACATTTGTAATTTAAAGCCTGCACCCACGTACTAAAGTGACCCCGATTTTTTTCTAAAAAAGCACTCAATTTCAAAAAATTTCGGTTTTCGGTTTTTAGAATTTTATAAAAAAAATTTTTCAAAAATTCCAGTTTTAAGACCGGTCGCAAAACCCCGCGCTTCGCGCGGGGTTTTGCGGCACGCGCCTCGCAGGGAGTCTACGGGCGCTGGGTTCGGGCTCGTAACATGGTCCTATTCCTATCATAATGAGGTGGGAAATCCAGGCTGCCTCAGCAGCAGCAAAATCTCCACAGATGCCATAGGTAAGGAGCTAGAACAAACGATCATAACTTTGCCCAATCTTGTTCAATCTCGGTGATTTTCATGTCATTTGACTCAGCTCGTCGAGCTCTTTCGAATGAGGTATTATTTGTATAAAAAAATTTTTATTCTAAAAATCGCCCTTTTGGATCTTCGATTTTTAGGGGTCTATATCTCGGTCCAATCAAGTCGGATTTCGTTGATTTTGGTGTCATTCGACTCAGCTCGACGAGCTCTTTCGAATGAGGTATAATTTGCATTTTCGAATTTTTCACCCCAAAAAAGTGCTTGGTCCCCTCTATGGTTTTTCGATTTTCAATCGCCTGTATCTCGGTTCAAAAATTTTTCCTAGAGCTAATTTTGGTGGCATTCGACTCAGCTCGACTAGCTCTTTGAAATGATATAACATTTGTAATTTAAAGCCTGCACCCACGTACTAAAGTGACCCCGATTTTTTTCTAAAAAAGCACTCAATTTCAAAAAATTTCGGTTTTCGGTTTTTAGAATTTTATAAAAAAAATTTTTCAAAAATTCCAGTTTTAAGACCGGTCGTGTCCCCTATTTTATATATAATCCCATCCTGATTCCAAATCTCAAACTTATTTTTCAATAGACATAGGAAGATTCGTAATATTTTAAACTTCTTAAATCCTTTTTGGGAGATATATTATTAGCTGGATCTCACTATATTTTAATTAAAAATATTAATTCTTTAAACTTCCATAAATTTAAAATTTTAGTTAGTGTACAAAGTAGTTTCTCCACATATCCGAACAGAAGACCCCTATGCGCCTGATATCGCAGAACTTCTTAAAATTACAAATTTAAGAATTAATTTTACAAGATTGCATTCTCTTGGAGATAATTTATTGGATTATAGACCTGAAATTGATGAGAAATATTGGTGAATAATCCAATTTTTTGATAAAAATAATTAAATTAAAAAAGGTATGCCGTTTATGAAATAGTTGTAAGAGGATCTTGCTCCTGTTATGGACATGCTCAACGTTGTGTTCCTGTTGGTGATGAAACAATATTAACTGCGAAGTAATTAAAATAATTTTCTAGGATATTTAGACTAGGTCTGTTAAGTATTTATGATCTATTCTGTCAGCTTTACTTATTCAGAATCTTTATTTTAAAAATTACTCCCACCATTTTCCTTTCTAACGAACTTGATTTGCTATAACTTTTTTATGCTTGATCTTATCCAAATTAAACTCATATCATTCAAAAGCCCTCGATAAGCGCTTCTTTTACCCAAATGGATGGATCAAGTCTGATCACTCATGAAAAGGTTATAAGTCGATAAGTCCAAGAAATCGTAGTTTTTCACAATTATCATCTTGTAACTTTTTCATGGGTGCTCCAAATTGATCCATCGAGTTGTGTAAAAGATAGCGATTATCGAGGGCTTTTGAATGATATGAAATTCATTCGGATTGGATTAAGTTTTAAAAAACGTTATAGCTGATCAAATTTGGTAAAAATAATAATGGTGGGAAATAACCAAAAAGTACCAAAAATTATTTTTAGTTTTTCATCAAATATTTTATCAATTTAAACACTTCCAATCTTTAACCTTTAAGATTACCAGACATGGTGCATGGAAAATGTGAATGTACTCATAACACGAAAGGAATGAATTGTGATGACTGCGAAGACTTTTACAACGATTCCCCATGGAGACCGGGCATTGGAGATCAATCAAATGAATGTAAAAGATGTGAATGTAATGATCATGCTACTCGTTGCCATTTTGATTGGGCTGTCTATAATGCTTCTGGATTTTCTTCTGGAGGTGTTTGTGATGATTGTCAACATAACACAATGGGGAAAAATTGCGAGCAATGCAAACCTAATTTTTATCGAGATCCTCAAAGGTAGAAATTGTGAAAAAAGTAGTAATGTTGTGATTGTTATAGGCGATTTTTAAGAAAATTTGGATAATAATATGGACATATAGCCAAAATAAATATTAAATAGGTATATAATATATTTTTAGATCCATTCGAGATCCATATGTCTGCAGACCCTGCCAATGTGATCGCAGTGGTTCTAAATACGATGGAATTTGTGAGACTGAAGAAGATCCTGAGCGTGGATTGGTTGCAGGGAAATGTTATTGCAAAAGCAATGTTGATGGACCAAAGTAGAGTTTAAAACTTAGGCAAAATAATAAATAATTATCTAAAGTTGTGATCGATGTAAAAATGGATTTTGGGAAATGAGAAAAGAAGATCCTGATGGTTGTCGGCCCTGTTCTTGTAATCTAATCGGTACTTATGGGAACGAAGGTTGTGACAAAGTGACGGGAAAGTGTACATGTAAAGCTCTTGTAATGGGAGAACAATGTGACCATTGTCTTCAAGAACATTATGGACTAAGTGTTGATGATCCTAATGGATGCAAGCCTTGGTAGAAATTTTTAAAAATTATTCCCAGACATAATTCTTGTAAAATATAATTTTTGATATGAAAATATTTTAAATCAACGATATAATTTAAAAAATATTTTCAAGTGATTGCGATCCTGGTGGGGCTTATGACAATCACTGCGATAGTGCTGAGGGTATGTGCCGTTGCAGGCCAAATTATAGTGGGAGACGCTGTAATACAACAGAAAGTGGATATTTCTGTCCATTTATTGATAAATATACTTTTGAAGTAATTTTTAAAAAATATTTTTAAAAATTAAATAGTTTTGATTTAAAAGATGCTTTTAATATAAATTATTTTTTATCAGAACTAAATTAAAATCAGAATTAATTTTGGAATACCTTAACTAATAAAATATAGAATTTAAAACTAATGACTTTTTACATAGCAGAATTAGGCAGGACTGCTTTTCACCCCCAAAAAACTGCTAGATCCCCCCTATGATTTTTCGATTTTTGGGGACATCTCAGCCCAAAGCTGAGTCCGCGGACTAGTTTTGGTGTCATTCGGTCCAGCTCAGCGAGCTCTTTCGAATGACACATAAATTGTTCAAATCTAAAAAACGTTGGTTTACTTCAGTTTAGCCCATAATTAAATAAAAATTAACGAAAATTAAATCAGAATATTCAAAAATAATTAAGAGAATAAAACAAAAATTAAGTCAATCAGTTCAAAATTATTAAATCCCTTAACAATTCAAATTTTTTAAATCTCTCAATAATTTTTATTTCCTTAAACAGGCTGAATTCAGCATTTTACCATCAAATGCTGAGCAAGTTCCAAGAGAATATTCAGTAGATCGTCCATGGACTTGGACTGGGGAAGGATTTGTTAGAGTTCATGAGAATACAAATCTCAGCTTTTTTGTGGAAGGATTGCAAAAGACTGGACATTATAATTTTGTTATACGTTATGAATTACTTGACCCTAATGGTTTCTACTAAAAAAATTAATTTTAAAAAAATTAAAATTTGTTAGATCCTATTGGATGGGAGGATGTTAGTCTAACAATTGTTCGTCCAGGGGATCCCAGTCCAGATGGAGTTTGTGCAAATATTATTCCATCAGATGATTTTCTAATTGCTCGGTTTTGAATAAATTTATTTAAATATTCAAATAAAGAATTATTTTTAGACTTCCCAGTAGAAGTAAATTCACAGAAATAATGCCTGCGGTCTGTCTAGAAGCTGGTGTTCGCTATGAAATTCGTCTTAATTTTGGTGAAAAACGATCGGGATATCCTGATAGACAGGCACAAGTATTTAATTTATTTAGACGAGCCTCTGATTATCTAGGCCTCATTCTGGCCGTTTTCTTTTTAGAGTAACTATAGCAATAGACTCATAGGAATAGAGTAGGAATAGACTTAAATAGAATAGACTCACTTTATGATAAAAATAAAATAATTTTTAGAATTCCCTACAAAGATCACCATAAGGTTTTCTTAATACGCTGACTGATCGGTTTCATGCCAATAAGAGAGCGAGCTGGATCTGGATCCAGACCTTGATTTTTCCCGGATCCAGAGTCCAGATCAAGGCATTTTTCAGCGTTCCTTGATTTTTCCTTGACTTAAGATCCTTGATCTTGTTAAGGTCCTCATCTAAAATCAAGGGCAAGGATCAAGGTTTTTTGAAAACCTCGCTCTCTAATGCTAATGGTTAACCTCCATAATCGAAATCATTTACTGAATAAATTTTAATAAAATTTCAATTTACTTTCTAGGCTCTTATTGACTCTCTTGTAATTGCACCTCAAACTGATACTTTAGAATTATTTAGAGGATCAGAAATGAATGAATATAGGAAACAAATTTATGATCGGTAGTTGGATTATTTTTTTGTCAAAAATTTTTGTCGTAAAGGTTTCAATGCCGTGCTTTATCCCTTTCTGGCACCCCAGCCTCTCAAATGCCACTTCCCTGTCTTGACCTTGTTTGCCCAATGAATGGTCCAATTGTTGGGGAAGCTGTTAGTTGTGATTGTGACTTAACTGGATCTACATCTGGTATTTGTAATGCTAAAGGTGGTCAGTGTGAATGTAAACCTAATGTTGTTGGGAGACGGTTAGGATTGAAAAATGGGAAAATTGAATTTTTATTATTTTTCCAGTTGTGACCGTTGTGCTGCAGGTACTTATGGATTTGGTCCTTCAGGCTGTACTCCTTGTAATTGTGACTCGGTCGGTGCACTTTCCAATGCATGCGACAAACAATCTGGACAGTGTGTATGCCGTGAGCGAGGCATTACCGGACGTCAATGTGACCAATGCCAACCAGGATTTTGGTATCGAAAAATTTTCAACTGAATTATTTAATCACCTTTATTCTCAGGAATTTCCCAGAATGCCGAACATGTCAGTGCAATGGACATGCTTCGATTTGTGAGCAACGCACCGGTGCTTGCATGGATTGTCGTAACCTTACTGACGGAGCTCATTGTGAGCGTTGTGTGGATGGATATTATGGAGATCCTAGACTGGGTGTAGGCATTCCTTGCAAGCCTTGCCCATGTCCTGGTAATTATTCTGTCCCTAGATTCACTCATCTTATTCTTTTATAAAGGAGGCCCCGGCTCTGGATATCAACATGCTGATACTTGTTATATTGCACCACAGAATCAATCAGTTGTCTGTAACTGCAAACATGGCTATATTGGCCAATATTGCGACCAATGTCAGGTCAACTTTTGGGGAAATCCACGAGAAATTGCAGGATCTTGTGAAAAATGTCATTGCCACGATAATATAGATTTTAATGTGAGCAATTTAAAACCCAAGAAATTATTATATTTTGAGCCCAGGTTCCAAATAGCTGTGATCAAATGACTGGGGACTGTCTCAAATGTCTTCACAATACTGGAGGTGATCAATGCCAACACTGTCTTGAGGGATTCTTTGGAGATGCTCGGAGCCGTACTTGTGTCCGTTGTGTTTGCAATCATTTAGGGACTAATTCAAGTGCCGGGTCATGTGATCGTGTTACTGGGCAATGCCCTTGCTTCCCTAATGTTGTTGGGCTTCAATGTGATCAATGTGCACCTTTACATTATGATTTGGCTAGTGGACGAGGTCTTAATATCTAATATTAAGGATCGAACTTGTACATTTTTAAGGTTGTTCCGCATGTAATTGTGACACTAATGGTGTGATCGTCGATCCTAACACACAAGAACCCTTCCTGAAATGTAACGATATCGATGGCCAATGCCATTGTAAGCCTGGACGTGGTGGAAGAACTTGCTCTGATTGTCAAGATTTGTATTGGGGTATTTAATATCTTGTAGAGTTTAATTCAAATATTTTTAAGGCGATCCTGTTCATGGTGAATGCCAGCGGTGTGAATGCGATCCCTACGGCTCTACAACACTTCAATGCCATAGACAAAATGGAACTTGCATCTGCAAGCCAGGGAGTGGTGGCCCAAAATGTAATGAATGTGCTCGGGGTTATACTGGTCAATGGCCACATTGTCAAGCTTGTGGTGAATGCTTTGACAATTGGGATTCTATTTTACAAGGATTACGAGTTGATTTGGAAAGACTTGTTGAGAGGGCTTTGAATATTGAAGATACAGGTGAGTAGGGGGTAGATAAGGATAATGTTATAATAATATTATTAGATAATAATAATAATTAATATTTATTATTAGATAATAATAATAGTAATAATTAGAGCCCGGATTTTTATGCAAATGCATATTTTTTTTGCAAACTTTTCATGATGTGTTATGCACAAAAAACACGGTTTCCGCAAGTTTTGAAAACTTTAGAGGGGGTTTCTATTTGCATATAATGCATATTTTTGCATATTCCGGACTTTGTTGCATAATGCATATTTTACTGCATATTTTGAGGTTTTTGGGGAAAATATTGCGAAAATTGCCTAAAATCCTGCCAAAAAGTGAAAATTTAGTAAAAATTTAGGAAAAAATTTGTAAAAATTACAAATTTTGTAAAAAAATTTTTGTGTTTATTGGTTTCGCCAGAAAATGGCCCACCCCCATAATGTCTCAGCCCCAAAATGTCGCACCCCAAAATGTCCCACCACCAAAATACCTCATCTCAAAATGCCCAACAGCGTAAAAATGCTCAATTTGTCGAACTATACATTTAAAATAGGAGAAATCTTAATAAAAAATGGGTTTTTAAATCATTTTGACTAAAAATATGTAAAATTTTTAGGTATAAATGGTATTTTTCATGCATATATGCGTGTATATTTTGGTTTACTTGCATATTTTCGTGCATATTTTGGCAATTTTTTATGCATATTATAGTGCATATTTTGCATTTTTTAATGCATAAAAATCCGGGCTCTAGTAATAATAATACTTGCGGTCTAATTCGATAGAGAATGTGCTCTTTCTAGCAATGATTTTGTGTCGTTTTTGCGCGTTTTTTGATCTGGCCAAGATATGGCCCTCCAAATTCCCATAATTTGGCAAAATCCGGCTATAAAGTGCACATTCTCTATCGAATGAGCCCGGTCTCGACCGTTTTTAGGTCGGACACCTCGCAACCTTTTCTTGTTAGATAATATTACCTTTAATAAGGCTTGCATTTTCATTAATTTGAAAAATTTGAATCGAAAAATATCACCTATTTAATAACAAATTTATTTGTTTTATTATCGTACTCTTAACTAAACCTAAAATTTTGTTATATTATATCTCTTAAATTTTAAGGCATATCTTCCGAATATGATGAAAGTTTTATCCAAATGGAGAAACAAATAGAAGAAGTAAAACGTCAACTGGAAGTTGTTAACATAACAAAGGTTGTGAGAAGAAATTTCTCTCAATAGTCATAATTTTTTAGGAAGATTTGGACAATCTCCGTCAACAAATGCAAACCTTACAAAAACAAATTGATTCAACTAGGGATTTATTAAGTGAAAAAAATCAAAGAGTAACTAAAGTTAGCACTGAAGTTAATTTAATGGAAGAAGATATTCGCGTATTAAATGAAAGTACTAGACAAATAACTCAATTGGCGGATAATTTAACTGCTAAAGCTGAAATTATTAGAAGGGGGGATACAAAGGGAGCTTCAGAAATACTTGAAGAAAGCAGTCGAAGTTCAGCTGATGCAGAAAGGCGTATTGGACAACAATTAGAAATTATTAGCCAATCAGAAACTGATCGCCTAAAAGCTGAGCAATTATTGAATGAACATAAACGGGACTTTGATAGACAATATGATGAAAACAAAGCTAGATTATCTGAAATTAGCCAGACGGTATTTAATTAATTTGGAGATTTTGGGAGGTTTTCGTGGGATATCAAAGGAGTACCTTTTAAATTATAAGCCATTTTCAACGAATTTTCAACTTTAATTTTTGAAATCATTTTTAAAATACACTACCGTATATGCTCAAAAAATTACCCTCTTTAATAATTACTAATTACCCCCTCATTTTCTTACACAAATCTTAAATATATTTAAGAAATTATTGAAATAGTTTATTAATAAATATAAAAAAATAAATCAGTTTCTCCTCGATTTATTGAGATATATGTATTCCAAATTTAGCTCATCCTCTTGAATAATTACCCTCTCCAGTGAGAGGTGAAATAATAATTACTCAGGGTAATTATTCGAGCATATACGTTATAGTTCACCATAGTACTTCTTCCAAATCTATAGTCGCTTTTATCCTTTGTAGATAGCAACTTCTAAGAAAAACAAATTCATAAAAATTTCCCTCCTCTTAGATAACAACAATCGGTTCTTCATTATCCTCACTCAATTTGGAAGTTTGTGGTGCCGAAACAGCCCCTTGTGATCCCATTTGTGGTGGGCCTGGGCCAAAATGTTCTCAATGTGGAGGTGGTAGTTCTTGTCCGGGATCTGTATCTAAAGCTGCACAGGCTCAGGAATTTGCGAACGAAGCAAAGGAAAAAGTTCAGGCAAAAAGGAAAGATGCTGAGGAGGTTAAATAAATAAATAATTTAAAAAAATAAATTATATGTAGATATTAAAAAATATACGAGAAATTCTTCCCAAAACACAAGAAGCACGACAACTAACTGAGAAAGCTTTGGATAAGGCAAAACAAGAGGTACTAGTATTTAGTTACTGATTAATCTAGATGAAATACATTTGTAGCAGGGGAGTGCCGAAACACATTTTAAAAAGCGAAACGCGAATTCCTAAGTTAGTACCTCGCTTTCAAATCATTTTCTTAGAATAGAAGTCGAATTTTAGTGGATTTTCGTTTTGGGATTTGGGTGGATTAAGAGGGGCATCAAAGTATTTGGGTAATTTTCGAGGGATATGGAGGATTTGAGTGATGGTGGATTCGTAGCATATAGAGGATCTAGGGGACTATTGTGGGATAAACTTATGAAAAGGTTCTTTCTTCCTTTTTCAGCGCCGCAGGCGAAAGATTTGAGAATTTTTGAAAGGCCAAATTAGCCAAATTCTGGCACACCCCGGATTTGTAGTACATAACTTTTTATACTACACTACATATTCTGATTAATTCAAATTGTTAATCAGAATTATTATTTTAATTTATCAGAATTACATATATTTCCTTTTCTGAGTAAATTCTGTTTTATTCCTTTCCCTTTTTAAACCAGAATTTATATTCTAATCAGAATTAAGATGAATTATTATTCTGATTTAATTTAATTAAAAATTCTTTATAGCTTCAGAATTTTAATAATAATTCTGAAAATATCAGATAAAAATATTAATTAATTTAAATAGGCTGAACGTATCAACACAACACGCAATGATTTATTAAAACAAATTAACGAAACAAAAGAATTTTTGGAAGCAGAAAAGCACCGCCCAGAGGATATTCGTCAAAAAATTAATTTAATTTTAAATACTACAATTCCCTTTAATGAAGAACAAATTAGGGAATTGTCCGAAAATGTTTGTTTTTTATGTTTGAGGGGGATTTTTGTTGAAATTTTTTCGTCCTTAATAATTTTTTGGGGTGGTATCACGGTGAACGTATAAAACCAGTGATGCAAAAGTTCCAAAATTTTTTATTATTCTCACGACTCCCACTTCTTTTTCTTTTACCCAACATTAGGGGTGAACCTTTGGAATCGGTTCCGGACCTTTGCCGGTTCCACGGTGTAACAGAGCAGGAACTGGAACTTCATCACTGACTATAACAGCGATAATATGGGTTGAGAAAAATGTCAGGTCGGGGTTTCGAAACTTTCTCATATCGGGTTTCGGATAACTCGTGAAATATTGTCGAAAAAACCCGATTCAAACAAAATTCTCTCATTAATTTTCAATTCAGAATTTTTCTTTTTGACTTTTCTTAGCAATTAAAAATATTGTCGAAAATTAATAAAATTTTCTAAAAATTATATTAATCCATTAATAATCTTAAAATTAAATAGATTCGCCAAAAAGTATCAGAAGCCAAAGATACTGATAAAATTTTGAGTGAAACACGTGGAAACAAGACTACAGCTTTAAATCTTCAAAAACGTGCAGAAAGTGCTAGTATGAGGGCTGGAACTATACAAAGTATTTAAAATAAATAAATAATTTTTAATGAAAAAATATTTTCAAAAAAAATTTCAAAAAATTTAATAAAAAAATTATTTTTTAATTTTTAGATATAACTATGACTATTAAAGAAGCATTAGAAAATGCAACAATAGCTCAATCAAGTGCTGAATCTACACTTAATGAAATAAATGAAGCTATTGAAAATGCAAAGTAAAAATAAAAAAAATATTTTTAAATTTAAAATTAAAGAACAAAAATGTCCAAAACTGAAGGTGATTTTAATATAGTAGAAGGACGTGCAAAGGAAGCTTTAGAACGACTTCAAAAATTACAAAATGTTACGGGTAAATTTTTAAATTTTTCTTTCTCAGCTTTTTTTAAAATATAAAAAATAATCCAAAAAAATAATTTTTTAATTAATAAAAATTTTTTTTGACTTTAAATTTGCCCAAAAAAAATTAGAAAATAATTAAAATAAGTTGAAAAATTTGTCCGACCGCGGCAGGATTCGAACCTGCAATCTTCGGTTCCGTAGACCGACGCGTTATCCGTTGCGCCACGCGGCCACTTGACTATTTTCTGAAAAAAGTATTTATATAGGCTTATTTTATTTTTTCTTCTTTTAGATCATTTAAAAGCAGAATATATAAAAATAACTTCAACAACAAAAATGGCCTCTCAAAATGCAAATAATGCAAATAAAATAGTTAAAGAAATTGAAGATAAACATAATAATTTAAAAGTATTTAAATAAATTATTAATAAAAAATTAAAAAATAATTTAATTTTTAAAGGAAAAATATTCCCAAATAGTTAAATTATTAGAAGAAAAAGAAAATGGAAACGAAGAGAGGAATAAGAGGGCAGAAAATTTACGTAAAAGATCGACAGAATTACTTTCAAAAATTAAAAGATCAAAAGAAGAAAAGAAATGTTTGTCTTTGAATTAAATTGAATTTTTATTTAGAGAATTAAGCAGAAAAAGGGTTTTGGAAAATTTTTTTTGGCAAAACCCGAGCCTGAATAATCTTTTTAACTTTTCGTTAGTCTAGGGGGCAATGGGATTATCTGTCTAGTAATTTTAGGAAGAATACCAGGCTTCAGGAAAGTTAGAGATTTTGATTGTATCCTGAAAAGTTTTGTCACTCTAGGGCTCCTATAAGTCACTGAAAATTAGAATTATCTGACTAGACTTTTATTTAGAGAAACTAGCTTGAAGATCGATTAAAATTTAGATCGATATAACGAAAAATTGAAAAACCACAATGAATATTTCGTTATCTGAGATTTTTAACGGAAGCCTTCTCGGTTTCGATTTCTCCTTAATAACTTGCTTAATTCAAATCTTTATTTAAAATTTAAAAATCATTTTTTATTTTTCAGCTCTATTACAAAGAAACGATGCATTGGAGGTTGAACTCGAAAATTATAGAAAAACTTTAAGCCAATTAAATACCCAAATTGATGAAGTTTCGGCAGATATTGACAAAAAAATGGAATTTCATCAGAGCTGCGATACTTAAATTTAAAAATAATTGTTTTTAAAATTTTTGCCTTATAATTAATATATTACTGCCTTTATTTTTTATTATTAATTACTGACTACAGAGCTGTCCAAAATAAAAAAAAATTGTTAGAAAATAGAAATTTTTGAGGGGGTTGAGAATATTTAAAAATACGGGGTAAATCTTTGTTCTTTTAAGAATTTTTTGAGCCTATTTAAAGCAAATATTTTTAGTAATGAAAATTTAATGACGAAGGGAGGAAAAGTGGAAATTACTAGTTTAATAAATGGAACAAAAAAAATTTTGTAGGTACAATATTAAACCTTTCCACGCGTTTAGTTCAATAACAGGATTATTTTATTTTTAACAAGAATAATAATCAGAGATCGGACTATACCGTATTACGACCGTATTTTTCGGTATTTATCGGTATTCCGTATCGGTAGTACGGTACGGAATACGGTACGTACAGAATTCCCATCTCTAATAATAATTTAAAATTCAATAACCTTATTTATAAGGCTAAGGATTCGAACCCGCAATCTTCGGTTCCGTAGACCGACGCGTTATCCGTTGCGGCACGATGAATTACTTTAGAAACTATTTTTCCACAATCTCTCAAAATCAAAATATTTCTTAATTAAATAAAAAAATAAATTTTATTGTTGCGTGAGAAATTCTTATGGAAATTTTAAAATTTATTAAAAATGAATTGCATATAAACTTGTAAATATTTTTTGGGATTTTTGGTAAAAACATCGACATAATTTAATTACCGTATTTACTCGATTAATTCCCCTCCCTTGAATAATTCCCCCTGCTACGGATGAGTTGAAACAATAATCCTTCTCCTCCAAATACCCTACTACACGTTCAAATTTCAAAACTCGATTAATTCCCCTCCCGTGAATAATTCTCCATGCCACGGATTGGTTGAAAAAATAATTATCCAGTGGAATTAATCGAGGTAAATGTCCGGTTGGTGTCCTACATGTCCGCAAAGAGAATGCGCATTTTTCCTTCCTTTTCTTGCATTTTTTTCTGAAAGGAGTGGCGCCCATTTTTCTTTTGTGTATGGTAGTCCTTTGGCATGTCGAAGGAAAGAGGGAAAATAATAAAAATTAATTACTAATAGAGTACTTAATTTAATACTAATAAAATTATTATAACTAATAATGTTAGATTGATTTACAAACAGAATTAATTCACTTTAGGTTTAGATCAGTTAGGATATCAATACCAAACAGTAAATCATCATCAATTCTTTGAATCCAGTCAACGGTGCAATTAAACAGCAGATTGAAGCATTCTGGAACAGATTAAGATTTCTAATGGATTAAGATTCCTCCATGTTTTAGAAATCTATTTGAGTATGTTGTCCCAAATTTTTCATCTCTGATCATTTATAAAATAAAATATTTGTACTCTATTAGTAATTAATTTTTATTATTTTCCCTCTTTCCTTCGACATGCCAAAGGACTACCATACACAAAAGAAAAATGGGCGCCACTCCTTTCAGAAAAAAATGCAAGAAAAGGAAGGAAAAATGCGCATTCTCTTTGCGGACATGTAGGACACCAACCGGACATTTACCATTAATCGAGAAAACACGGTAAACTTCATGATTTACAAATTTTTCTTCAATCACTTTGTGTTCATCATATCGAGATTTGAATTCAGATTAATTAAACACATAATACATTTAAACACCATCCGCCCATCTTTGTACTACTGGCGTAATAATTACTTCATTTGACTTACAAAATACAGTTCTTCTATAGGGTTTAGTAGTTAATATAGAAATAATTGGATTAAATAAAGGTATTGTATGTAATGTAAATGAAACGAATAGGATAACAATGAATCTACTATCGTGGAAAAAAACACTCCAAAAATGATTGCGGGAACAACGGATGTTGCTAGGCAAATGAGCGGAACAAGAGCCTGAAAGTTAAAAATAGTAAAAATATTAGAGCAATCCTTGGCTATGTAGCACCTGACTTTTTGAAAATTTAACCGGTTAAGCGGATATTTTTAAACTTTTATCCTTCTTTTTTTTAGCCAAAGTAAAAGAAGAAAACGGAAATGAGGAGAAATCATGGAAGTATACCAAAATAAATTATACCAATAAAATTAAAGTAAAGGTAAGTTGTTTCAGCATTTTCTTCATGTTATTATCATATCCAGTATGTGCATTTACATAACGAATCATTTTTATAGCACAAATCAGAACAATTAAATATGGTAGAGCATAATAAAGGAGAATAAAGATGAATTCTATTTGCTTGAAAATAAATATTTTTTATAAAGATTATTTTTAAAAAATTTAAACATGTAAACTGTGTCAGGCTAAAACACAGTCCAGGCAGAACAATATTCGACCAAAATACTGACCAAGAAAATTCTGTTTGGACTAGTCACTAATTTGATAATCCTTTTTCAATTCAGAAGGTTGTCATCTACTTATCTAAATTCAATTCTTGAGTATGGAGTTACCTAAAAAATACACTAATCTCGACAGATTTTTCTCTGGACGGTATATTGTAAGGAAGATGGTGTTTTGCCTCTGAATCCCTATTAACAAAATTAGCAAAAAAATTTACAGTAGCATTATATCCAACTAAGATGAAATTCCAATAATCATTAATTTCATTTACTGGTTCGATACCTCCTCCAATATACGGCATAATAAAAAAATACTGAGATAATTGAAATAAAATATCCAAAGTTAAAGTAATTAAAATCATCAGAAAATAATTACAACCACTAATTTTTTTATTTCTAAAATTAATAAGGAAAATAAAAAGGTAGAATTGTGTTTGAGGGTACATGCTCTGATATGGACGATATATATATACCGTATTTACTCGATTAATTCCCCTGTGGAATTATTTTTTCAACCCATCCGTGGCATACAAGGAAGGGGAATTATTCAAGTTTTGAAATTTGAACGTGTAGTAGTGATATGTCCGCTATTTGATGTTTTTTATTTGTTATCAATTTTTGTGAATGCTTCTGCCTTCTCTTTCAAATTGTTTCCCCAAACCATATTTTAAATATAACTTCCTTTTGATCTTTCTCAAAACTTCCCTTATAACATTTTACACCTTCACATTCAAATATATAATTTTCTTATCTAAATTGTAAGCTAAACTTATTTCCTTATTTCCCGCCTATTCCAAAACCCTATAAATACCCATTTGTAATTTCATCTAATTTGCGTTATTTTGAACTAAACTGAATAATAAAGATAGTTGTTAGAATATTGTTTGAGAGAATAAATTGAGATATATATATTAAATCCGGGGACATAATATTGGTGCCACGACTCGACTAGTTTTTAGAACTAGACGGAGAATTTAAAAAGAATAAAAAAAAAAGAAGAAATAAATTGAAAAAATGTCTGCATCTGATTTTGCACCTGAACATTTTAGTTCAGAGGAAAAGAAAAATTTAAGTACTATTCTTGTTCAACTGCGCTCCTTTGAACGCTCGGTAGCAAAAAGCTTCCGAAAAGTTGAAGGAAGATTAGAGATTATTGAAAAAAATATAAAAAAGAATAAGGATAGTTTAACAGCAACTAAAGGTTCCGTAACTAAAGTACGTAATTATTTAAATAATTTTCGTAAAGATATTCAGTCAAAATTGGGGAAGTTTGAAAATTTGAGTGGAAATACTGAAGATATAGAGGAAGAAGAATTTGAAAATAGTTTAGTTAATGATTCAAATGAAGCAGATGATTTGGTAAATAGTCAAGAAAATTACCAGGAAATTATGACTATGGACCCGTTCTTAGGGAATGGAGTATTTGTAGGTTCTTTTGATGGCAATCCTACAGTGTCTTTTACAAAATGGGTAGAGAAGTTTAAAGATGTTTTATCTTTGATGACCGAGCCAAATGAAGCACAGAAAATTGCGCGTTTACGTTTCTGCTTATCCGGTCAGGCACGAATCGCCTTTGATAGCATGAACCCGCAACCAGTTACATTAGCGGAGGCAATAGCTTATTTAAAAGGAAAATATGAAAATGGAAATAGTAAAGTTATTGCGCGCCAATTATTGTCTAACTGTAGACATGCGCCAGGAGAATCGGTATTTGAATTTGCCAACCGTCTTTCCGATACTGTACGTACAGCTCTATCAGGAGATGATGAGGAAACGATTAAAAAGAGATTATTAGATGAATTTCTAGATAGATTGATACCTGAGCTTCAGTTTGAAGTAAAAGCTCAGAGACCCCAAGATTACGCAAATGCATATGAAATCGCTTTAAATTATGAGTTACTGCTCGCTTCGCGAAGAAATGCTTATTCTGTTGCAAGTTGCTCTGAAAAAGTTGAAGCTTATACAATTCGGAATGAACATCGTGAAACTAGAACTTGTTATAATTGTGGGGTTCAAGGTCACATCTCTAGATTTTGTAGGGAACCTCGAAGGTCGTATTATAGCTCGAGGTATTATCAGCCTCAATATAATGAGAGATCTAATTATGGAGAAACTAGTCATCAAAATTATAGAGAATACGAACAACATTATGGAAATAGAGATCAGCAAAAATCCAGGAATTCATATGGAAGATATAGGAGTAGAAATTCTGATAGTGATTCAAGCAATTCTAGAGATAGTGAACGAGAAAATTGGAGAAAACAAAAACGAGATAATTATGAGAATCGTTTGCCAAATCGTACGCGATTTGAGAATTCGAATCCCAAAATTGGAGCGGTTAACCCATACTTGTTGGTATTGGTTGCTTTGATTTGCCTTATATGAGAACAGCATTACAACATGTCAAAACTTCAGAGAAGAAATGCTATCAGAAAAGAGAATAAATTTGAGGACAAATTTCGTTAAAGGAGGGAGGAGTGATATGTCCGCTATTTGATGTTTTTTATTTGTTATCAATTTTTGTGAATGCTTCTGCCTTCTCTTTCAAATTGTTTCCCCAAACCATATTTTAAATATAACTTCCTTTTGATCTTTCTCAAAACTTCCCTTATAACATTTTACACCTTCACATTCAAATATATAATTTTCTTATCTAAATTGTAAGCTAAACTTATTTCCTTATTTCCCGCCTATTCCAAAACCCTATAAATACCCATTTGTAATTTCATCTAATTTGCGTTATTTTGAACTAAACTGAATAATAAAGATAGTTGTTAGAATATTGTTTGAGAGAATAAATTGAGATATATATATTAAATCCGGGGACATAATATTGGTGCCACGACTCGACTAGTTTTTAGAACTAGACGGAGAATTTAAAAAGAATAAAAAAAAAAGAAGAAATAAATTGAAAAAATGTCTGCATCTGATTTTGCACCTGAACATTTTAGTTCAGAGGAAAAGAAAAATTTAAGTACTATTCTTGTTCAACTGCGCTCCTTTGAACGCTCGGTAGCAAAAAGCTTCCGAAAAGTTGAAGGAAGATTAGAGATTATTGAAAAAAATATAAAAAAGAATAAGGATAGTTTAACAGCAACTAAAGGTTCCGTAACTAAAGTACGTAATTATTTAAATAATTTTCGTAAAGATATTCAGTCAAAATTGGGGAAGTTTGAAAATTTGAGTGGAAATACTGAAGATATAGAGGAAGAAGAATTTGAAAATAGTTTAGTTAATGATTCAAATGAAGCAGATGATTTGGTAAATAGTCAAGAAAATTACCAGGAAATTATGACTATGGACCCGTTCTTAGGGAATGGAGTATTTGTAGGTTCTTTTGATGGCAATCCTACAGTGTCTTTTACAAAATGGGTAGAGAAGTTTAAAGATGTTTTATCTTTGATGACCGAGCCAAATGAAGCACAGAAAAAAAAATGTCTTGAAAGAAATAAAACCAGTAAATAAGTCTGAGTGAAATTAATTCCGATCTCGCCAATCAAAAAGATTTTTTTGAAATTATAAAGAAAGTTTTGAGGATTTCGATGAAAAATCAGACATTCGAAGAGAAAAAACTGACTGAAAGTTAAAGATTTAATTGTGCCTTCTGATCAAAATAAAAAAGTTTTGCATTTATCCGAAATAAGGAAAGAAAAGTTGTATGGTGGAAACCGAAAAGCTTAAGAAATCTATGTAAATTAAATAATTTGAGGAATTGAGGAAGATTAGGACAAAATAAAAGATAGAAAGATTTTAAGGGCTTAAAAAAGTTGCAAAAGCAAGAAATAATTTAAAAAATCGATGAAATTAAATATTATAATTAGTGTTGTCGATTCGAAGAAGCCGAGGATTTTTCGGTTCGGTTCTTTAGTTCCGAATATCCAAAATTTTTTTCTAGAACTAATAACCCTAATTATAAGTATTAAATTAAAATGAAAGATTATGCAATTTGTAAAAATTTTAGAAATTAAATGAATTACCAATATGTACAGTGGAAGCAAACAAATTAAAATTGTTAGAATTAAAAAAAATAAAATTATCATAAAATTGTACAGAATTAATTTTTTCCAATCAAAATTTACTTATTTTATTTTAATCTAGTATTCAAATAATCTTCATCAGGGAAAATAGGTTCTGGCGGAGATGATGGATTCCAATGAGATAATAAATGTAAAATATCTAGATAATCATGATGCGGGTTTAAACAATACTTAAAAATTAATTTTAATTTTTATACCCAATTTTATTTTCAAAAAATAAAATACCTTAAGTGTCATAATTAAATCATTTCTCCAAATCCACCCTTCAACTTCATCTGTTAATTGCCGAATATCATAATTAGTAGATAGTAGATTAGCTATTAAACTATCAACAACTAATTGTGTATTAAAGTGCGAATCCAATAAAAGGAATCGTCGTGAATTTGCTGATCGCAATACAAATTCAAAAGCAACTAAACAGAGAGAATAAACGTCTGACTTTTGAGAAACCTGTATTCGTAAAAAAAAGAAAATTGGATGCTTCAAATTGTCGCGTGTTTGCGCCGTTAATAGGACGAATTATTTGTAGGGCATGGAAGCTGTAAAGCAAGGGTCCAGTTCCGGAGTGCGGTTCCCGGCAGCAACTTGAACCGTCTAACCGGTATAGGTCTGGAATAGGCTGGGAACTGATACCGTGGAACCGGTAAATGTTGAGAACCGGTTCCCAAACCGCAAAACTCAATTATTAAATTTTTTTAATTACCGTATATTCATTATTTCGATTATATCTATATTCTGGACTTTTATAGGTCTCTGAGCCATAAGTCCAATTCAATTCAATAGTATTTCTTCTAGAACTATCAAATAAAATAGAGTTTACCCCAGGTATTAACTTTACTATACACTCATTTGATCCATTTTCATTGTCACAAATAAAATTAGAAGGATTGATATTTAGATGTAAAGCACCTAAATTTTAATTTTTTATTTAATTTTTGAATATTTATTTTTGTTATTTATGTCTACTAAAATTTACTTCCATTATGGAATTGTTCTAATGCTAATGCCATTTGATACAAAAGCTTCTTCATATTTGACGGGCTTCGATCTAAAATTGTTATTTCATAAAAATATAAATTTACACTCTTTTTTATTATCTTATGGAAAATTAAGTATAAAATGGATTTTTATTTTATAGTATTTTCTAAAATAAAATCATCTTTAATCTTTAATTTGAATTAATTTAGTATTTAAAAAAATCTCTTTACTGTTTATTTATTAAAATCTAACCAGGCATATTTAAAAAATAATTCTCCAAAGTTTGACTTCCACCTTCCAGAAGCATTCCTTGAACATTTTGTGAAATTATATTGCTTAATAAAATTATTTATTATAATTTATTTCCAAAAAGTTTTAAATAGAATACATAATTTAGAATTAAAAAATAATTTTAATTTAGATATATTTTTTAATAACTACAATACTTACTGTCCAAGCATACATATGATTCTGTTATATAAATGTCCATTTGTAGTAAACTTCTTTTTTGCAAAATGTTTAAAAATTTCTAAAGCATTTTCCGCCAAAAACGTGTTTGTAGATAATATCATTTCCATTAAGATTAGTTTCTCATCTCTCAAAAGATTATAAGTAGCAAAGCTTACCTAATATTGTTTTAGATATTTATTAAAATAAAGTCCAAATCATTTCTTATCCAATTTCAATTCAGCAGGCCAAATGGGACTGAAACCCCAAAATTTGCATTTATCTTTGTGATCAAAGTTCGGATTGGGTTCAGTAACAGTTCTTCATGTTCGTAACCTAAACCCATTTAGTTTGGGACCTTTCCTTACCCTATCCATCGAAATTTCTGAAATTTATCGCCACTTTTTAAGAATTTCAGGAAAACGAATATAGCCTTCAGAAATTTCGAGGAATATGGACAGAAAGCTCCCAGATCAAGTGGGCGTAGGTTCCGAACATGAAGAAATGTTTTGGAACCATACCCCAACTTTACTACACCAAATTTTGGGGTTGGCCGGCCGAATTGAATTTGGACAAGAAATGAAATTGGACTACGACATATATTTTATTTAAAAACTAACATTTACTTGCCCATAACTAAATATATTTCTTGAATCGTCTACCAAGATACCAAAATTTCTTGTTCTTGATTCTCTGATGTAGTCTATTATAGGTATTCTAACCAATCTATACCCATCCACATATTCAATTCCTTCTAAATTTTTTTAAGTTTTCGGTTTTCTAAGCTTAATAAAAATTTTTTAAATTTATCCTGTATGTATAACTTTTAATAAGTATTTAACGAATTTGTTTAAAGATTGACCGGGTTTTTTTTTCAAAAATTTTAAAAAGCACCAATTATATTCGAGATTCATGCTGTGGAAAAATGTATTGGATGGGAGATGGAATAGAACCATCATGGAAAGTGCCCAAACCGAAGCACAACCGACTGTCACGATCCAACCAGATGTTGGGTTATTTCTATTAATTTATGTTCTTTCTGCAAGTGCGGACACAACATTACCTATATAATTATATAGGTATTACCAAGCTGGCGTTGAGTTGAAGATGATTGTCCAGTATTTGTTTGTTGTGATGGTTCAGCACCATGAGGTGTTGAATTTGTTTCTTGTTGCCCTCGCCCAGTACATTGAACACAACCACAATTTACTACTTTAATTTTATTTTTAAATTTATAAATAAATATTTAAATTTTAAAATAATAATTTAAAATATTTACTTGTTAAATTGATTAAAATAATTATATTTAAAATAAATAGATAGTTCATTGTTTAATTAGCTATTTTAAATATAAAATATTAATATTAAATATTTTTTGGATATAATAGAATAAAATATAAATTATTTAAACAGTTAAACATTGCCATGCATATAATTTTCTAGAGGTCTAATTACTATGTACGAGTTATGAATTTTAGAATAGGTATGTTAAAATGAAGGAAAAAGTTAGGCTAGGGATTGTTTTTTCAGATTTACCCCGCGTACATAGGACAATAGCTCTATGGGTGTCAAATGTCCTTACAATCCCTAGTTTTGCGTTAGTTATGAAGGAAATAAAGTGCCCCATTAATTTCGGTCACCTGCAGCCTACATCTCAAACGCCGCTTAAGTCAAACACCGTGTAGTGGGCCATTCATTCTAATGGATTGAGATATAGGCTCATAATTTTCCCTGAACAAACAAAAATGGATATTTTTCCACTATATCTTCCCTCCTTAAATCCTACAACCAAATACATTTATCTACATGTATTGGCGTTTAATTGCAAATATACGTATCAGGGAACGCGCCGACAGAAAATCGAATTCCCGATTTTCGGGAATCGTGAATCGGGTCGGCGCGATCCCTGATACGTATGCACAAAGTAAATCATCTAAGTTTTGATATAAAAGTGCTTATGGATTTCTTCTTATTTAACGATTTAATTAAAAAAAATTTTGAAAATTCATAAAAAAAATTCTTGCTTTTTCGTAAATTCGCTAAAAATAATAAAGTCAATAAATAAAAATTTCACAATAACTAGACAATTATTTAAAATGTCTATTTTGATTTTGTTTTTAAAAGTCTAGACAAATAAAGCCAAAGATCCTTATAAAGACAAATCCATAAATTGAATAAAATAAGCAATTCCGGATTGCGAAATATTTTGCCAGTTCTAAAAAATCGTAAAAGACAATTTGTATTTTTTAGTTGGGGAGATATAGTGGGAAAACATCCATTTTTGTTTGCTCAGGGAAATTCATGAACATCACCCCCGCCATTTAAGATTACGTTGATTGCTTTGATCAAAATGAGAAAGTTTTCATTTATACGAAGCAAAAAAGACAAGTTCTGAGGTGAAAATAAAGAGAAATTGAAAGAAGTAAATTAAGAAAAGTGAAAACTTTAGGAGAGTCTTTAAAAATTAAAGAGAAAGTAGTAAGATTAAAGCAAAATATAATTTGTAATAAATAGAGTTTAGGGTCGGTCCCAATCCCCGTCCCCGAAAATCGGGGGATTTGAGAGATCCTTTGAAAATTTCCCGTCGTCGTCCTCCCTGTGAATAAAAATAAAAATTTCCCCGTTCCATTCCCCGGACCTCCACCTCTGTAAAAATCCCCCCCCCATCCCCCCTCCGTGGCGCTGCCTCCACGAAAATTTATCCCCGTAGCAACCTATGTAGTAGAGAGATTTTAATGGCTCTCAAAAAATTGTAAAAACAAGTAAATAATTCTAAAAGATAATTAAATTAAATATTATAATTAAGGTTGTCCGGTTCGGAAACGAACTGGAGATTTCAGTTCTTTGGTTTCTAATATTTGAAAAAATTTCCTTTAACCGATAACCCTAATTATAATCATTGAACTATAATGAAGGATTCAAAATGTCATGCACAAATTCCAAAATTAAATAAATGCCCCCTACAGTCTGACTAAAAATTTATCTTGACTCTCATCTGTAAATATTGTTTCAATCTCTAGTAAAATCATCTTCATCTTGAGGGAGAATATTCTGTTGTGGAGATGGTGGCCCCCAATGGTCTAATAAATGGGCAATATCCGCACGTTCACGACGCGACTTTAAACAATACTTAAAAATTAAATTAAATATTTTGAAAATAGTAATTCTACTATAAATTATTTTTAAATACATTTAGTTTTATATATTTTACATTTTGCACCCCAGTGTACGTGAGGGAACTCAAAATAAAACCCCAACAAAACAGAAATTCAAAATTATTTTAAATTATTAATTAACTAAAAATTAAATTTAATTATTTAAAAAATTAAAATACCCGGAGCGTCCCAATTAAATCATTTGTCCAAATCCAACTTTCACCCTGATTAGTTAATATTGCTCTATGATCATAATTAGTAGAAGGTTCATCAGATAATAAATTAATTATCAAACTATCAACAACTAATTGTGTATTAAAGTGCGAATCAATTAAGCGATATCGTTGCGAATTTGCTGATCTCAATACAAATTCAAGAGCAACTAAACAGAGTGAATAAACGTCTGATTTTTTAGAAACCTGAATTTGTAAAAAAAGAAAGGAATTAGGAACTTCAATTTGTTGCGTGTTTGCGCCGTTAATGGGACGAATTATTTGTAGGTAAGGGTAACCAGGTGGGTGCCGGAATTTTGGTCACCACGATTTTTCGGAACTTTGGTCACCAAATTTTTTGGAATTTTGGTCACCAGCGGAATTTTGGTCACCAAGTCAAAAAGCGGAATTTTGGGCACTGAAATTTTGGTCACCAAGAGGAATTTTGGTCACCAAACAGAAAAATTTAATTTTATCTTAAACTGATATAAATGTGATAAAATAATATTTTTCAGCTCCCAGTTCATCAATTTCAATGTTTATCACTTTCCCGGCTGATCACTCTCTCGGGTGATCACTCTCGATCACTCTCCCGGTGGATTGATTAACTGGCAGAGTGATCAACATTGAAATCGATCAACTGGGAGTTGAAAAACATTATTTTATCACATTTATATCAGTTTAAGTTAAAATTAAATTTTTCAGTTTGGTGACCAAAATTCCTATTGATGACCAAAATTTCAGTGCCCAATATTCCGTTTTTTAACTTGGTGACCAAAATTCCAAAAAAGTTGGTGACCAAAGTTCCGAAAATCCTTGGTGACCAAAATTCCGGTGACCAAAATTCCGTACACCAACCAGGTTCCTCTTACCCGGGACTTGGGTAATAACCCCAAGCTTAGGGTTAACCCTTATTCGAAAAAAATCGTCCAGAACTCGATGAATACTCGCAGCAGGCCAATTTCGAATCTCGGTCTGACCGGTCCTCAGTCGCGGACACTCGATCAGATATTTGATTTTGCCTTTTGTCCGATTGGCAGTCCTGATTTGATTATTTAATTATGTATAAAAAATTACTGTGTAGTGATTATTTTGATTATGTCTATATCTTGGACTTTTATAGGTCTCTGAGCCATAAGTCCAAGTCAAATCAATAGTATTTCTTCTAGAACTATCATATAAAATAGAGTTTACCCCAGGTATTAACTTTACAAAACACTCATTTGATCCATTCTCATTGTCACAAATAAAATTAGAAGGATTGATATTTAGATGTAAAGCACCTAAATTTCAATTTTTTATTTAATTTTTGAATATTTATTTTTGTTATTTATGTATATTAATCATTACTTCCATTATGGAATTGCTCTAATGCTAATGCCATTTGATACAAAAGATTCTTCATATTTGATGGGCTTCGATCTAAAATTATTTTATAAAAACATTTTCAAAAGAAAATCATTTTTAATCTTTAATTTAAATAAATTTAGTATTTTAAAAAATTATTAATTTTTATTTTTATTGTATTATCGAAATTAGAAAAATACATATTCAGTTTATTTTTTTTTATTATTTACCAGGCATATTTAAAAAATAATTCTCCAAAGTTTGACTTCCACCTTCCAGAAGCATTCCTTGAACATTTTGTGAAATTATATTGCTTAATAAAATTATTTCTTATATTGCTTAATAACTACTTACTGTCCAAGCATACAAAAAATTCTAGGAAATTTCAATTTTGCAAAATGTTTAAAAATTTCTAAAGCATTATCTGCCAAAAACGTGTTTCTTGATAATATCATTTCCATTAAGATTAGATTCTCAGATCTCAGTTGATTATACGTAGCAAAGTTTACCTAATATTAAATTCGTTTCATAAAATATTTCTATTGTGTTATCAGATTAGACTATCTATAACATAGTAATTAGTGTTTCAACGGAAGTTCTGGTTCTGGTTGCGGGAACCGGACACAAATTCGATCCGGTTCCGGTGAAACTCTAATATTTAGTAATGAATCTGTAATTTTATTTCAAAACTAACATTTACTTGCCCATAACTAAATATATTTCTTGAATCGTATACCAAGACATAATAATTTCTTGTTCTTGCTTCTCCATTGTTGTAGTCTATGTTGGGTATTCGAACCAATCTATGCCCATCCACATATTCAGTTTCCTCTAAATTTTTTTTAGATTTTCGGTTTTCTGAACTTTTGTAGAAATTTTTTTATTTTATATTTTAGTATGTATAACAGTAACTAACGGTTCATTTAAAGGTTGGCTGAGTTTCCACAAAAATTTAAAAGTTTATAAATCTATTTTACCATGCTGGGGTTGTGTTGAAGAGGATGCCCCAATATTTGTTTGATGTGTTGACTCAGCACCACGAGGTGGGGAATTTGTTTGTTGTCCCCGCCCAGTACATTGAACACAACCACTGTTTACTACTTTAATTTTATTTGTTAAATTACCGTATTTCCTAAAATAAAGCCCCATGGGGCTCTATTTTTCAACTATCCTCCAGAGTGGGGCTCTATTTTAGGGTGGGTAATAAATTTTTCTAATTTAGCATGGGGCTCTAAATTTCAACCTATTTTTCAAATTATTTCAAATTAAAAAAATGAAAAATAGATTCTTTTTATTCACGAAATTTAGGAAAAATTATCGACTTTCAATAAATTTTGCAGACGTAAGATTTTGTCTATCTTTCCAAAAGTTTCTTCTGCGGCGTTGAAAATAAAGAAAGCTAACTCCTTGGCCTTCCAAGGCTCTCAAAAATTTCGCCTTAAAATACCCTAATGTTCAATAATACCGTATTTTTTGTATTAGAGCCCCACGTTGAATTAGAGCCCCACGCTGTAATAAAGCCCCACTTTGAAGGATAGTTGAAAAATAGAGCCCCACGCTGTATTAGAGCCCCACGCTGAAATAGAGCCCTATTTTCTAAAATTTACCTATTGTATAATAAATTATTAATTTTTAATACTATACTGTTTTTTCCTTTTATCTAATGTTCTGTGCCAATGCTAGATATTATATGTGATTAAGAGGATATTTGGGGATAAATAACACCTTAAGCTGCTCCAAATCCTCTACAATAGAGGAATTTGGATGTTATAGGAGATATCAGAGATTCTTTTATATACTGGCAAGCATAAATATTGGCGAGATCAGCCTAGTTATCAGCAGATTCATCTCAGAAATCCTCCGCTATCCGATTAATCCCCAAATCATTTATACTCTCAAAATCACTCGATATCCTTATTAATCCCCAAATACCTTCTTAATCACATCTATATTCTTCAATTGGGACTAAACCGAGATATATACACGGAGTGACCGTGCAGACTGAAGCAGAATACATATAGTAATCGAAAGGCTCGATAGGATTCGAACCACCACAAAATAAAATTCGGCTTTAAATCCACCTCAAATCCACTTAATCGTGCCAAACTGTACACGCTAACTATTAACTTTAGAAATATCACAATGGTGAAATTTATTTTTGTGACAAATTTCACCATTTGAGTAAAAAATAGGCAGTTGCCTATATACATATTACAGCCTTAATTATAATTGAAAATTCCCTTATATATTTTCAAAAATTGGTTGAAAAATAGAGCCCCACGCTCTATTAGAGCCCCACGCTGTAATAAAGCCCCACTTTGAAGGATAGTTGAAAAATAGAGCCCCATGGGGCTCTAATACAAAAAATACGGTACTTTATTCCCTCAAATCCCATTATTCCCCTTAAACTCTTAATAAATAACAATAAAGCGGTTGGTCCCGTTTCCCAATGCCTTCAAAATGGGGTAATTGGATTGGAGTTTCACAAGCCTCCTTGTGTGAACTCCGCAAAGTATAGGACATAGGCAAGCGCAGGATATAGGGGAGTTTTGATCGGGAGACGTCTTCCCTCAGAATCAGACACTAGGACTACTGACATCCTTTTTCGGACTGACACACTTTTACTCACCAAAATATTACAATATCACTTAATCCTTTTAAATTTGCCTCATTCAATATCCCCCGAATGGACACTTAAATTCCTTAACCGGCTTTTCTCAGAATGGCAGTTTGTGCTAAACTTCGGATTGCTCTGGCAAGGTCATTTAATCCAAAATAGCTCCCCCAACCCTCTTAATTTTAATCTCTCGATATCCCTTTCAATCCCCAAATTCACTAACATCCATTTACACATCCAACCCCTCTCCCCTTTTACTCACCTTTTAACAATTTTGTTTACCAATTTGGAATAAAAGTAAATTTAAAAAGTGAGGTGGGGCTCTATTTTAGAG